GGGGGGACGGGGGGGGGGGGCTGACTTCCGAAGCTACCCCCCCGCTCCTCTTTTGGTCGGGATTTTGCAGCTGGGGGGTCTCTGGCTAAAGGGGGGCTGGCTTGGAAACCACCCCTCCTTCACCTCCTTCTCGGGGCCGGGGGTAAGTCCGGGCTCCCCTTTCCAAGTGGGGGGGCGGCTTCCGAAGCTGCCCCCTCCCGCCTTTCCTTTCGTCGGCATTTCCAGCTGGGGGGCCCTGGCTGAGGGGGGGGGGGCGTCGAAGCTAAGTCCCCTTCCTTTTTTTCAGCCGATGGTCAGCCCACACTCCTCTTTCTGAAAGGGAGGGGGGGGGCTCGGGAAGCTTCCCTTGGGTTTTCGGTCGGCGCTTCCCTGGTTTTCGGCGCCCCTTTGGCCTTGACGCGTCTTTTTGGTTTTCGGGGCCCATTTGGTTCTCGGCGCCTTGTTGGTTTTGGGCGCACCTTTGGTTTTCGGCGCCCTTTTGTTTTTCGGCGCCTCTTTAGCTTTCGGTGCCCTTTTGTTGTTTCGGCTCCCTTACGGTTTTCGGCGCTCCTTTGGTTTTCGGCGCCCTGTTGGTTTTCGGCGCCCCTTGGCTTTCGGCGCCGTTTTGGTTTTCGGCGCCGTGTTGGTTGTCGGCGCCCCTTTAGTTCTCGGCCTTCTTTTGTTTTCGACGCCTCTTTGGTTGTCGGTGCTCTTTGGTGGTCGGCGCTCCTTTGTTTTTTGACGCCCATTTTGTTTTCGGCGCCCCATTCGTTTTCGGCGCACCTTTGGTTGTCTGCACCCCCTTTGGTTTTTGGCGACATTTTGATGCTCGGCGCCCTTTTGATTTTCGGCGCCCCTTGGTTTTCGGTGCTTTTTGGTATTCTGCGCCCTGTTGTTTTTTGTTTGCCTTCTTGCTGTTTTCTGCCCCCCCTTGGCTTTCGCTGCCCTTTCGGTTTTCGGCGCCCTTTTGATTCTCGGCGCCCCTTGGTTTTCGATGCCCTTTGGTGTTCGTTGCTGTTTTGTTTTCGGCACCGCTCTGGATTTCGGCGCCCTTTCGGTTGTCGGCGCCCCTTTCTGTTTTCCGCGCTTGGTTTTCGGCGCTCCTTTAGTTTTCGGCGCCCCATTGGTTTTCGACGCCCTTTTGGTTTTCGACGCCCTTTTGGTTTTCGGCGCCGTTTTGGTTGTCCGCTCTCTTTGGTTTTCGGCGCCCGCCCTTTTGATTTTCGGCGCTCGTTTGGTTTTCGGTGCCTTTTTTGTTTTCGGCGCCTTTTTGATTGTCGGCGCCCCATTTGTTTTCGGCGCTCGTTTGTTTTTGTTGGCGCCCTTTTGGTTTTGACCTTCTTTTGTTTTCGGCGCCCCTTTGGTTTTTGGCTCCCCTTGAGTTTTCTGCGTCCCTTGGGTTTTCGGCGCCGTTTTGGTTGTCCGCGCTCCTTGGTTTTCTGCGTCCCTTGGGTTTTCGGCGTCCATCCTTTCGGTTTTCGGCGCCCCTTTGGTGTTCGGCTTTCTTTTGGTTTTCGGCGCTCCATTGTTTTTCGGCGCCGTTTTGGTTGTCCGCGCTCTTTGGTTTTCGGCGCCTCTTTGGTTTTCGGCGCCCGCCCGTTTTGTTTTTCGGCGCCCCTTTGGTTTTCGGCGCACTTCCGGTTTTTGGTGCCCTTTAGGTTTTCGGCGCCCCTTTGGATTTCGGCTCCCCTTTGGTTTTCGGCGCCCCTTCCTTTAGCCAAAGGGGGTCGGCGGATGAGTCTTCCACGCCCCCCCCCCCGTTCTAGCCAAAGGGGGCGGGAGGGGGTGGAGGTTTGCTGCAGGGGGGGTCCAAAGGGAGGGGGGGAGGTAGCTAAGCGTCCCCCCCTGTGGAAAGGGGGGGCGGGTAGCTTCCGGAGCGCGAGAGGGGGGGAGGGGGGGGAGGCGTGTGGGTCATTTTGCAACCAGAAGCGCACTTTACAACCAGATGGGTCACTTTACAACCAGCTTACAAAATCCGAAAAGGGCACTTTACAACCAGGAAGGGCACTTTACAACCAGGCAAGTAAAAACACATATTGAATGCACGCGGGCCTTTCCCTGAAATCTCCGTGGGCAAGCGCAAGGGTGGCTTTGGGCTCTTCGAGGCATGTTGGTTGTGAAGTTGCCCATCACGCACGAAGAAGCACTGCGCACTCGTTGGCGATGCGGCGACCTGGTGCGCTATGGAATGTTGCGTGCTGGTGGGCGGATTAGGGTTTTGACCTGCTCTCTAAGCTCTGTCGGTCAGTTCTGCCATTGCTTGCTCTGCCTTTTTCTGACGGACGAAGGCTAGTCGCGCAGGACATACGAATAAACCATGATCCCGTCCAAGACTGGAGCTGCATGGCAGTGGGAAGCTGTAGTGGGAGATGTGGTGGTAGCGGGGGCTACAATGGGAACTGCATGGTGTTGGGAAGCTGCGGTGGCAACTGTGGTGGTCGCCAGGCAGCGGTGGGAACTGTGGTGGTAGCTGGGCTGCAATGGGATTTGCGGTGGTAGCGGGGGGTCAGTCGGAATTGTGGAGGTAGCGGGGCTGCAGCGATAAGTGTGGTGGTATCAGGCACACAGGTGGCGGTGATTCGCTGTCACGGTGGCTCAGGCTGCTGCGCTGGCACGGTGGCTGAGGCTGCTGCCCGAGCAGGATACCTGCGTTGCTGCGCTGGCACTGTGGCTGACGCTGGAAGAAACGATCTTCGAAATAGTTGCATTTATTCGGAACGTTGAACCTCGATCTTCCAAGAAGAGGAGCAGCAGGGGGCCAACTGGAGCTGGAGCACTTTGCCCCTTGCAGAACACCGTGGGGCTTCAGGGGCCAACGTGGCCCAAGAGACCCGCGGTGCCAATGGCCTAGTTCCCTGGGGCGCTGGGCCCTTGTGGAGGCCACTGGGCTCGCTTCCTGTGAGCGATCCCTAAAATGGGCAGCGCGTCGCCCTGGGCCTTCCTACGTACGCTGTCGCCTTATTTCCGTGCGAGCACGGGGCCCTTGTTGAGGCCGCTTGGCCCCTGCTAGCAAGCCCTGTCTTATGTCTGCTGGGCTCAGAGCGCCAGAGCGTCCAGGCGCTCGGGCTCAGAGGCATCGCTGGGGCCTGCGCGGAGCGCCCAGGTCCTCGGGCTCAGAGGCATCGCTGGGGCCTGCGCAGAGCGTCCAGGTCCTCGGGCTCAGAGGCATCGCTGGGGCCTGCGCAGGGCGTTCAGGCGCTCGGGCTCAGAGGCATCGCTGGGGCCTGCGCAGAGAGTTCAGGCGCTCAGGCTCCAGAGCGCCCACGTGCTCTGGAGCACTTTTCAAAGCGTCCGCGCGCCCTGGAGCACTTTTGAGAGCGCCCGCTTGCTCTGGAGCATTTTTCAGAGCGCCCACTTGCCCTGGGGCATTTTTCAGAGCGCCCACTTGCTCTGGAGCACTTTGCGGAACGCCCAAACACGCACGACCACTCTGAACTGGTTGTAAAGTGGTCCGTTCTGGTTGTAAAGTGGCCCGTTCTGGTTGTAAAGTGGTCCGTTCTGGTTGTAAACTGGGCCGTTCTGGTTGCAAAGTGGACGTTCTCGATGAAAAAACCATACTTTCCAATCCTATGTTGGTTGTAAAGTAACCCATCTGGTTGTAAAGTGGTTGTTCTGGTTGTAAAGAGATCGAATCTCGGGGGGGAGGGGTAGCTGCTGTGCGGCCATGCGTGCGCGCTCTCTGAAAGGTGTTCTTGCGTGATCATCTTGGCAATGAAGCCGAATGCTGACCTTTTAGGGAAATCGCCAGGTTTTCATCGGCGGGCGCCGCTGGGATCTAGACCGTTCCATTGCCTTCTCACGTGCTCCAGGACGGCCCACAGGTTGAAGGCGCTCCAAGACGCCAGCGTATATTAACCTTATACGACATGTATGCGACACTTGTATGATCACGAGAACCGGGCGTATATGACGCGTGTGCGAAACGTTTAAGGAACGCTTGCGAAACGTATGCGGCACGTGTTTGAAGCGTAATTCGAAACGTACATGGAACGTGGGCGATACGTGTACAAATCGTATACGTCACGTATACGAAACGTATGCGACATGTATACGACACGTACATGAAATCCACGGTGTGTGAAACTCGAACGACATGTAGATAATATGTACACGGCGTGTATATGGCACGTGCATGAAACGTAAACGCAGCGCGTGTCAAACGCACTTGACACGCGTATGAAACGTATCGAAGACGCCTACGGCGAATCACCGCCGCCCCCTGCCATTTTGGAAGCGCCTATGTGGCCGAACGTTGAGGCCAGACCTGCCAAGCTATCGGACCATGTGTTCCTTGAATCGGTTTGGAAAGCCTTCGGGGAACACGTGGGCATCTTGAAGGTCATCTTGGCTGTGTGGGAGCCGTTTTGACCCTTTCGGGCCTTCTTGGAGGACGTCTTGGAGGGCTCTTGGGCTGTCTTGGAGGCCATCTTAAGCGTCTTGGAGGCCTCTTGGGCCGTCTTGGGGGCCTCTAGGAGCCGTCGTGGGCCTCTTGGGCGATCTTTGGGAGCTCTTGGGCCGTCTCGTGCCGTCGGAAGGCAGAACAAATGCAAATGCCACATCTTTCAGGAGCTCATGCGACATCAATGATTTTGGCCTTTTCGGCCCTTCCTGGAGGCTCTCTTGGGAGCCTCTTGGGCCGTCTTGGGCCATCTTAGGGCCATCTTAGGGCCATCTTCGGCCGTTTTGGTGGGTTCCTGGCCCGTCCGACGCCGTCGGAAGCCGTTTGGGGGGCCCCTCTGGGCTGACTTGGGGCTCTCTTGGAATGCTCCAGGGCCGTCTTGGAGGCCATCTTGGGCGTCTTAAAGGCCTCCTGGGCCGTCTTGGGGGCCTCTTGGGGCCGTCTTGATGGCCTCTTGGGCCGTTCTGGGGCCATCTTGGAGGCCTCTTGGGCAATCTTTGGGCGATCTTTTGGGGCTCTTGGGCCGTCTCGGGCCGTCGGAACGCCGAAAAGGAGCAAATGTCACAATCCTTCAAAAACCTAGGAACATCAATATTGTTTTGCCTTGTGCATCCTCCCGCAGGAGTCAGCGCGCGACGCGCCGCGCGGCGGCGGCGCCTTGCGCGGCCGTCGCGCGCGCGTGCGGGGGCCCTGAGCCCGGGGCACGTCGGGTACAACTCGGCGGTCGGCGGTCGCACCCGCATCGGGCAGGCGGGCCCACGGGCGAAGCTCCTTGGAGCGTGGTCGCCGCCGTCCGCCGTCGGTCGTCGTCGTGCGCCGCACCGCCGTCGTCGCCGCCATGGTCGTCGTCGTCGTCGTCGTCGTCGTCGTCGTCGTCGTCGTCGCTGCTGTCACTGTCGCCGTGGTCCTCCTCTTCCTTCTGGTCTTGCCCTTCGCCTCCTCAGCCTGTTCCTTCGGGGTAGCCGCCAGAGGGTATGTCATGGGCCCGTTCGCGCCCAGCCTGTGGGGATTTCACAGGCGGTGTGCTTGTTTTGCATGCCCAGCATTTTTGTTTTCGGAGCATGCTCTGAGTATGTCTCAGGCGAGACGCTGGTTTCAGCACCCCAGGGCGGGGCGCCAGAGGGGGTAGTTCACGGGCCTGTTCGCGCCCAGATTGGGGATCTCTCTGTCTGTCTGTCTGTCTGTCTGTCTGTCTGTCTGTCTGTCTGTCTGTCTGTCTGTCTGTCTGTCTGTCTGTCTGTCTGTCTGTCTGTCTGTCTGTCTGTCTGTCTGTCTGTCTGTCTGTCTGTCTGTGTGTGTCTCTCTCTCTCTCTGTCTCTTTCTCTTTCTTTTTCGTTTTTTTTTCGTTTTTTTTTTTTTTTTTTGTTTCTCTCTCTCTCTCTCTCACTCTCCCTCTCTCTATCAGGCGGTTTGCCTGTTTCGGCGCCTCTGACTCCTACGCTTTCGGAGCCGATTGTGAGGATTTCTCAGGCCTGGCGCTGGTTTCAGCACTACCACGGGAGATCCGCTAGGGGATATTTCACGGGCCAGTTCGTGTTTAGTGTGTCGGGGTGTTTCGAGCTGGTTGCCTGCTTCGGCGCCCTCGACTGTTCTGCTTTTGGAGCAGATTGTGAGAATATCTCAGGCGAGGCGCTGGTTGAAGCACTCCAGGTAGGAGCCGCCAGGGGGTATTTCACGTGCCCGTTAGATTTGGGGGATGTCTCGGGTGGTTTGTCAGTTTCGCCCCCAGGCTTGTCTATGGTCTTGTGTTACTTAGATGCCTCCGAACCTCACTCACTCTCTCACCTTCTTCTTCTTCTTCTTCTCTTCCGCATTCGGACGCATTCACATTCATAGTTACTTGCTCATCAGTACCACTTCTTCACTCAGACTCACTCATCACACGCAGACTCAACCATCGTAAGGCTCACTCTTACTTAGATGCTTTCAGTTCCAAGTTCGCTCACACTCAGACTCACTCGCTCTCAGACAAACCCACACTCTGACTTACTCTCGGTCAGTTTCACCCACCGCCAGACTCGCACATACTTAAACTCACTCGTTTTCAAGCCCATCATATTGATATCTGCCCAACTCATACTCAGACTTATTTAGATTCACCCACTTTCAGAGATTACTCATACTCAGGCTCACTCGTATTCATGTTCACTCATGTTCGGACTCATATTCATCATACGCAGACCTAAACTGACCTATGCTCAGACTCACTCGCAGTGAGGCTCAATCGCACTCAGACTTACTCATGACCCACTCGTACTCAGATGTCCTCATACCTAGACTCACTCACATTAAGATTCAACCATGCCCAGACACACTTTCATTCAGACCCGCTCACACTCTATCACTCACGCTCAGATTTACTCACAGTCTTCTCTCTTCTGGTTGTCCACTGCTCCCTCGCTCTTCCGTTTGTGTTTCCTTCGTCTCTCCTTAATATTTGAGGGGGATGGCGTCGCTGAAGCCGTCGCTGTCTTCGTCGTCGTCGTCTTTGTCGCGCCCGTCGTCTACGCGGACCCGCTCTCACACGCAGATCTTCACAGACAGAGTTCCTCAGCGAGACGTGAGAGGCGTATGAGATGCACATCTGGGGGATCTCCTCGTCGAGTAATTCGTCAAAGCGATGTGGGTGGGTCGCGGTTGGGTAGCGGGTGGGTCGCAGGTGGGTTGTGGGGTGGGTCGCGGGGTGGTCGCGGGGTGGGTCGCGGATGGGTTGCGGGCGCGTCACGGGCGATGACGACGACAACGACGCAACAACGCAACGCAGCAACGCAATAACGCAGTAACAATCCGCACCGTGGAACCCCCAGTCACGAACCCAGGGACAGTGAATGACCGTTCGCCTCCTCGCTCTGATTACCTGGAGACAATGGCCACCAGCCACACATGGGCGACAGAGGCATGCGTCGTGTGGTCCATCGCCGGGCATGCGCGCGGCCGCGGCCAGGAGGTGCTGTTGCTTGCCGTAACACACTTCTGGCCTGCACCTAGTGTGCGCCGCACCCAGGCCGCGAGAGGGGCGCGAAGGGGGCTACATCTCAGTTGAGGGAGCGGTAGCGGCGCTGGTGTTCCGCCACCCCTGGGGGTTCCCAGTCTGCCCCCTTCCTCGCCTCGATGGAGCCCTCTGCCGCCTCGCTCTCCCTGAGGATGAGCGCCTCCGCGGCCCAGTCGACCCCCATCTCTTGCTCTCAGGCTCCGCAGCTGGCAGGGCTGCCTTCAGCAGAGTGCCAACCTCCGAGCCGGCCCAGCCGCTCGCGAGCTCCTGCTCGGCGGGCGGCCGCCGTCTCGGGCCGTCCGAGAGGCTGGGCGGCGCCAGTCCAGCTCCGGCCTCGATCTCGAGGGCGAACCGTGCTGGGCTGGGATCGGGTGTTGCTCGACGAGCGAGTTCCACTACTCGCAACGTAACTACTCGCAGATGGCCTGGATCCCCCTGGGGGATCTACGATACATTACATCAGAGCAGACATGTGTTTTTCGGGCGTTTTGTGGCAGTAGGCACTTTGTGAGTAGTGGAACGAGCTCGGCGAGTTGTTTAAAGTGCCCCTGGCCTCCGCAGGGTTTCCAAGGAGGGCTCCCACGGCCTCCAGGGCACGCCGTGCGAGGCCCAGAGGGCCCCGGGGCTTCCACAGTGAGGCGGAAAGCTGGACCGTGAATGATGCTGATGTCTCCAGGACTGGCACCTGTAGGTCCTAGGCGAGAGATTTGCGCCGACTTGCGGTGCACGTGTCTCGCTGTGCTCGCTTGTCCGCGAACAGAAAAATCGATCGCCGAGCGCGTTCCACTGCTCGCAAAGCGCCTACCCGCGAACTTTCCCAAAATGCCTGTCTGCTTCGATGTGTAATTCATCGCAGATCCCCCGCGGCGGATTCAGGCCACTTGCGAGTAGCTACTTTGCGAGTAGTGGAACGCGCTCGTCTGACCGAAGGTGGGCGGTACCTCCTCCTCCTCCTCCTCCCCCTCCTCCTCCTCCTCCTCCTCCTCCTCCTCCTCCTCCTCCTCCTGCGAGGGGGCCGCCGCACCAGCAGGCCCTGCTCGTCCGCCGCCCGCGCTCGGCCGCAGCGCCCCGCCTCGCCGAGTCTTGCGCGCATCGGCGGAGTGTCCAGGGTGCCCCCGCGGCGTGGCATCGCCAGCGCCGGGACCCTGGGCGCCCGCAGGCCGGAAGCAGCATCCACAGCGCGTCGTCGCCGCCGCTGCCGTCGTCGCCGTCCTCGGCGTTGCCGTTCGCGTCGGCTCCGCCCCCGTTCGCGTTCCCGTCGTCGTCGCTGTTCTCGTCGTCGTTGTCCTCCCTGCCTCCTTCACTTTTTTCTTTTCCTTCCGCCCTCCTCGTCATCCTCGTCCTCGTCCTCGTTCTCGTCGTCGTCGTCGCCGTCGTCGTCGTCGTCGTCGTCCTCGTCCTCGTCGTCGTCCTCCTCCTCCTCCTCTTCAGGCAAGTGATCTTCCCGCTCGCCCTCCCGGGTCCACGGCCAAGATTGATATCCTCCGTCACGTTACCCGCCGCTGAGACAGCAAACCGGGTGCGGGAGGTTGCTAGCCTCTGCCCGAGGTGCTCGATGCCGAGGATGGCGGGCGCTCGCTCATTGGCTCCAGGATCAAGGTGTGCGGCTGGGTCCGCACTGTCCGTGTGCAGAAGGACGTCGCGTTCATCAAGTTCAATGACGGGTCCACCTTCAAGGAGATGCAGGCGGTCCTTGAGAAGGGCGCCAAGGGCTGGGACGAGCTCGGGGCCATCGGCGCGGGGGCCTCTGTGCGCGTCGAGGGCGAGGTGGTTGAGTCTCCCGCCTCTGGGCAGGATCGGGCGACGAACTCTATACATACCCTATACGACCACCCTTCGGTTGATAAGGAGGTTCGGGGGGGGAGGAACCAACGTTTCACTCGACCGGTCTCACTATCGATCTCACTATCGATCTCACTATCGGTCTCGCTCGATCGATCTCACTCGATCGATCTCACAATCGATCGCACTCGATCTATTTCATTCGATCGATATCACAATCGATCTGACTATCGATCTCACAATCGATCTCACTATCGATCTCACTATCGGTCTCACCATCTATCTCACATTCGGTCTCACTATCGATCTCACTATCGATATCACAATCGATCTCGCAATCAACGTCATCATCATCAACAACATCATCGGCATCCACGCCATCAACATCATCAACATCATCATCATCGGGGCACCATCATCATCATCTTCACCTCATCACCATCATCATCATCACCATCATCGTCATCATTGGGACACTATCATCGTCACAACCATCATCGTCAACATCATCATCAACGGAACACCATCATCATCATCATCATCATCATCATCATCATCATCATCGGAACACCACCATCATCATCATCTCATCATCATCATGAACAACATCATTAACATCATAACCATCGGGACTCCATCATCATCAGCAACATCATCATCATCAACATCATCATCATCATCATCATCGGGGCACCATCATCATCGTCACCATCATCATCATCACCATCATCATTATCATCATTTTCGGGACACCATCATCATCAACATCGCCATCATCATCATCTCATCATCACCCTCATCAGCATCATCATCATTTTCGGGACACCATCATCGTCATCATCATTAATAACATCAACATCATCGGGACACCATCATCATCAACATCATCATCATCAATCTCATTACCATCACCATCCTCGGGACACCATCATCATCATCATCATCCCATCATGTCATCGTCATCAGCATCATCAGGATCATCAACATCATCATTGGGTCACCTTTATCATCAGCAACATCAGGATTATCCACATCATCATCATCGGGGCACCATGATCACCACCATGGCCATCATCATCATTATCACCATCATCACCATCATCATCGGGACACCATCATCGTCACCATCATCATCATCATCAACATCATCAGCCTGGGACACCATCATCACCATCATCGGAACACCAACATCATCATCTTATCATGCTCATCATCATGAACAACATCATCAAGATCATCATGATCATCCTCGGGACACCACCATCCTCATCATTAGCAACATCGTCATCATCAACATCATCATCATCATCATCATCGGCGCACCACCATCATCGGGACACCATCACCATTATCATCACCATCATCATCATCGGGACACCATCATCATCAACATCAGCATCATCATCACCATCGTCGGGCCACCATCCTCGAAATCATCATCATCACCTAATCATCCTCATCATCAGCATCATCATTATCTGCACCATCATCGGGACATCATCATCGTTATGATCATCATCATCGGGGCACCGTCATCATCATCACCATCATCATCAACAGCATCAGCATCATCAACCTCATCATCATCATCATCGGGACACCATCATCATCTTCATCATCATATCATCATCTCATCAGCATGAACATCATCAGGATCATCAATCTCATTATCATCATCGGGACACCACCATCACCATCATCAGCAACACCAGCGTCATTAACATCACCATCATCGGGACACCATCATCATCACCACCATGGCCATCATCATCATCATCATTTTCATCATCATCATCAACCTCATCATTATCATCAGCATCATCATCATCATTGGGACACCATCATCGTCACCGTCATCATCATCATAATCACCAACAGCATCATCATGGGACACCATCATCATCATCGGAACACCACCATTATCATCTTATCATCAGGATAATTTTCATGAGCAACATCATCAACATCATCATGATCATCTTCGGGACACCACCATCATCATCATTAGCAACATCGTCATCATCAACATCATCATCATCGGGTCACCGTCATCATCGGGACACCATCATCATCATCATCATCACCATCATCATCATCGGGACACCATCATCATCATCAACATCAGCATCATCATCATCATCGTCGGGCCACCATCATCGAAATCATCACCATCACCTCATCATCATCCTTATCATCAGCATCATCATTATCTGCACCATCATCGAGACATCATCGTCGTTATCATCATCATCGGGACACCATCATCATCATCACCATCATCATCAACAGCATCTTCATCATCAACCTCATCATCATCATCGGGACACCATCATCATCATCACCATCTTCATCGTCATCATATAATCATTTCATCAGTATGAACATCATCAGGATCAGCAATATCATCATCATCGGGACACCACCATCACCATCACCAGCAACATCAGCATCATTAACATCATCATCATCATCATCATCATCGGGACACCATCATCATCACCACCATGGCCATCACCATCATCATCATCATCATCATCATCATCATTATCATCATCATCAACCTCATCATCATAATCATCATCATCATCATCAGGACACCGGAGGGGCACCGCGCGCGACCAGGCCCCGGACAGGAAGCATTTGGTCCGGCCGCGCCTCAGCCAGAGGCGGGACACTTCTCGCCCGCCCACGCAGCTTCGCCTCGCCCGCACGCACGGCACGCACGAACACGAAACCGAAACCCATTTCCCGGTAGGGGGGCTCTCCGTTCCACTTCGATCTCACCCCTCACCTCCGATCCACTGCTCCCTGGCCAGGCCCATCCTGAACCTAGGAATCGTGTATACGCCCTTCTGGCGAAGCCAGGAGGCCTGGCCATGGAGCAGTGGATGTGTATAGATCTCGCCTCCCTACAGGAGGTGGAGGTGTCCTGCAGCGGAGCCGAGATGGGCGTGCACCGCAGAGGGCCTCTGATCGGGCGATCGGGGGAGGGGAAGGGGAAAGGGGAGCGGGAGGGGGAGGGGGAGGGGAAGAGGGGGAGGAGGAGGAGAGGAGGAGGAGGAGGAGGAGGAGGAGGAGGAGGAGGAGGAGGAGGAGGAGGAGGAGGAGGAGAGAGAGGAGGAGGAGGAGGAGGAGGAGGAGGATGAGGAGGAAGAGGAAAAAATGGGAGGAGGAGGAGGAGGAGGAGGAGGAGGAGGGGAGGAGGAGGAGGAGGAGGAGGAGGAGGAGGAGGAGGAGGAGGAGGAGGAGGAGGGAGGAAGGAGGAGGAGGAGGAGGAGGAGGGAGTGGGAGAGGAGCAGGAGGAGGGGGGAGGAGGAGGAGGAGGAGCAGGAGGAGGAGGAGTTGGAGGTGTATTGCAACGGAGCCGAGAGGGGCGTGCACCTCCGAGGGCCTCTGATCGGGCGATCCGGGCCCCGGGCGCAAATCACGGACCCCCGGTCCTGCGCTCGCAGACCCCAGGCATGCAGCGTTTTGGACAGAGTTAGGACGGAGGGTTTCCTCCTCCTCCTCCTCGTCCTCGTCCTCGTCCTCGTTCTCCTCCTCCTCCTCCTCCTCCTCTTCTCCCCCCTCCTCCTGGTTCTCCTCCTCCTCCCTCCTCCTCCTTCTCCTCCTCCTCCTCCTCCTCCTCCCTCTTCCTTCTCCTCCTCCTCCTCCTCCTCCTCCTCCTCCTTCTCCTGATTCCAGATTTCTGGTTTCGGCATGTGGGGGCCCTTACTGTCAAGGAGGGGAAAAATCCACCCAGACCCCGACGATGGGCGTTTGCCCAAAAAACGGCCCCGGGCGTTCACTGCGCGGCCCTGCCCGGCTCGATTCCTTCCCTGGGTGCGTCAGTTGTCCTCCTCCTCCTCCTCCTCCTCCTCCTTCTCCTCCTCCTCCCCCTCCTCCTCCTCCTCCTCCTCCTCCTCCTCCTCCTCCGTTGAGCGGCTGCGCTTCTCGGGGTGGTCCTCCTGCTGTGCTTGTTTTCTTTCTCGCTGCTTTGCCGAGGGGCGCGGGCCCTCGCACCCCGCCCCCTCCGCCCCCTCTTGGCATCGCTCGGACGTGTGCAGTTTTTCTCGAGAGCCATCGAGGACCATCCTGGACCATCGAGCCAAAGAAACACGCACGAAACCGAAAAATGCATGGCAGATGGACGTCCGAGCGACGGCAAGCCCTGGAGTAGATCTTGTCTGTTTGTGGCGCCTGTTTCGAGCAGGGAAACAGTCGCATTAAGCAGAGGTCAGGGCCAGACCCCCCCTCCCTGCCCCCTTTCCGTACAAATGTCGAAGCGCCGAGTGAGAAAACGCCCGCAATCAGGGCGTAGATTTTTCTTTGGTTTCGGCCTGTGGGGACTCTTACTGGACCCTGAGGCTGTCAAGAACGACTAATGATGTAGAACCGGTCACAGGGAAAGGGTCGCGACTTCCGGGGATTGCGTGTTGAAAACGTCATGACATCGCATGCCTGGGACTGGGGCCGAGACCCTGCGCGCCTGGTCAACGGAGTGCTTCACGCTGTCGATCTGGGGCGTTGAGAGACGGCCTCGCCCTCGAGGGTCGAATGAGTTGGCACTTCTTCCTCGGTGGGAGGCGGCGGAAGGTTGGCCGAAGCAAAACGGGGGCGGCCCCGCTGGGGGAAGCCGACGGAAGGCCCGCGAAAGCCGGCGGAGGCAAAAGTTCCCTCCCAAGAGGTGTAGAGTCGGGCCGCTGAAGAAGGAACCCTTTTCGTTGGGGAGGGGCTCAGTGTTCCGTAATTGTTTTGCAGTTTGTTTTATATTCTCCTTAGGTCTTCGATGGGAAATCGAAGTTTAGCTTATGGAGAAATGGTGCCTCGTTCCTTATTTAGGGTTCCTTATGACAGCGTTTCGACTGTACTTATTTTGGTATCCAGGGCTCACGGAACCCGCCATCTGCCCCGAGGTCTTCGCCTGCTCGCGCCCGACCTTCTCCTCCAGCGCCCTTCTCTCGCCCCACGGGTGATCGAGGCCTCCTCTCAGAGCCCCGAATCATCAGGTCTGGGGGTGGTCAGGGGTAACTGCAGATTCGCGCCTCAGGGGCCCAGACCAGAGTGACCCTGGACCGCAGTGATCCTGGATCATTCGCGCGTCCAACCTTCCCGGATCATCAGGGCTGGGAGCAGTCAGGGGTAACTACAGATTCGCGCCTCGGGGGCCCAAACCGGAATTACCTCGGACCGCGGTTCTCCAAGAGAATTCGGGCGTCCAATCTTCGAAAGGTCGGGATGATCTCAGAGGAACGGGTAACGATACCGATGCCCTTCCCCCCCGTTTTTCTATGTCTCGGCCTCCTGGGAGCCCTCGTCGCTACCGCTGGATTCGCCTCGAAGTCCTGGTCAGAACGCACCCCAGGAGAGGTCCAGGGAGTAGCGGTATAGGTACCTTTGGGTTTCCCCACAGATGGAATCGGAATAGATGTGGTCGGAGGATCGCGCCGCATCTCTGATGCATCGGCAGTGCGGCTCGATGCGGAGCCCCATTTTCTCCACGCCGACGTCGCCGATGCATCGACGATGCATCGACGATGCGCTGAGGTCCTCCGACTCCATCCACCCCGACCCAATCTGGGAGGCCTCTAGGTGTGGGGTCTTTGGCAGGGTCCTCCAGCGCATCAGGGGCTTCGGTGGAGGACACAGAAACGGCATACATCTAAACTGTCAGAGCTTCGCGCGGACGTCTTGGATCGACACTGGACACCCCTCCTTGGTGCGCGGAGCGCGCCAGGGGCGGCGCCAGAGGCGCCGCCAGGGGGGTCCAGCACATCCGCGCGGAGCTCCGACTGTTTATGTTTATGCAGTTTCTCGTCTTCGACTTCTGGCAGGCCGATTTCGTGTTCGACGTGCCCACTCTACAAGACCGTGGAGAACACCGAACCGGGTTCCCTAGACCCCATCTCTGCGTGCCATTTTTCGAGCTGGATCGATCCGTGAGGGTTCCAGGGCGCGAAACCGCTCGAAAACTGTTTCGTGTCAACAAAAACTCAAAGCCTGGATCTGAGGGTGAGGTACACGACCCGACGTCGAGGGGTCTGTGGCAGGATCAACACGACGTCCCTTGCGGACGCAAGCCTCGGCGCGCGACCTCTCGGGCGTTCTTTGCGCACTGAGACCGTCCCGTGAGAACGAGGGCTCTCCCAGCTCGGGGGGTCCATCATCTTGTCATGTGGACTCTCACAGTTCCTTGCCCTCATCCTCCTCAAACTCCTTCTCATCCTCTTCCTCCTCCTCCTCCTCCTCATTCTCCATCATCTCCTCCTCCGTCATCTCTTCCTCCTCCTCCTCCTCCTCCTCCTCCTCCTCCTCCTCCTCCTCCTCTTACCCCTCCTTCTGCCCAACTTCCTCCTCCTCCTCCTCCTCCTCCTCCTCCATCTTCCCCTCCTCCACAGTGGCCACACCAAAGAAGAAGTCGGCCTGCCCTGTCCCCGCGGAAGGTATTCCGCCGGATACAGAGGGAGGGCTCTGCACGGCGGGGTCGTTGCACGCGCCGTGGCGCGGCGCTCGCAGGATGAGCTTGGCACTTCTCCCGGACACCGAGCGCTCCTCGTCCGCCGCCTCCTCCTCCTCCTCCTCCTCCTCCTCCCCCGTCCTCCTCGTCCTCCTCCTCGTCCTCCTCCTCCTCCTCCTCCTCCTCCTCTCCCCCTCCTCCTCCTCCTCCTCCTCCTCCTCCTCCTCCTCCTCCTCCTCCTCCTCCTCCTCCTCTGGTTTGCAAGGAGGACGAGGAGCGCTCGTGTCCTGCGTTTGCAAGTGGACATTGTCTAGCACTGGGGCCGTTCACTGAGTGTCTGCCCGCAGGGCTGTTCGCTCACCGTTTGCCCCCCCCCCCCCCCCCACCCCGTGTTTCGCATAGGTATGCTCTCTTGTCGTGCGCCAGGTTGGGGTAGCCAGAGGTTCCGTCATGCTGTCCGCTCCCATGTTCCCCCTCCCGCCGAGAAGTCGGCCTGCCAGAAGGTGCTTCACGGACATCTTTCATTCCCGGACAGCCCCAGGGACCCGCAAAAGCTATGGCGCACCCAGGGGTTAAATCGGGCCTGTCTTCCTACAGGGGGAATATTCAGAATTAGTCAAACAATAGTCAGGGGATTATTTTTTGAGTATGTGTTGGAATCTTGAGTATTTCTTGCGTATTTTTTGTTTTTCGTCCAAGATCCTCCTGTAGGGGGACAGGCCCGACCTAACCCTAGGGCCCCTGAAGATCGACGAAGACTGTGCCCCAGGGTTCCTTATAGTGGGACTTCCTAGCATACGTGTCCACTGTAGGAGGCCGCCTGCGTGGGAGGCGCTCGCACGGGCCTCTGAGGTGTGGACGTGCTTGGGGCCGTAGATGGGGCGAGCTACCCGCTGGCCAAGAAGCGGCACTCCATCGAGTTCCTGCGGTCGATCGCGCACCTGCGGCCCCGGTCCAACCTGATCGGCGCGGTGAGCCGCGTCCGCAACGCGCTGGCGGACGCGACCCACCGCTTCTTCCAGGACCGGGGCTTTCTGTACGTGCACACGCCGATCATCACCACCGCAGACTGCGAGGGCGCCGGAGAGATGTTCCAGCTGGCGGGTGGTGCTGGCGCCGAGGGTGGGTTCGGCAGCAACTCGTGGGGTCCTTGCATGTCCTCGGATTTCCGTCTTTGCAGTGCATTCGCGTGCGCAATCATCTGGTAGTCGATGGGAGAAAAAGAGAGAGAGAGAGAGAGAGAGAGAGAGAGAGAGCGATGATTTAGCGTCGATCAGCGTCGATGTAGCGCCGACTAGCGACGACTAGCGTCGATTAGCGTCGGTCAGCGTCGATTCGCAGGAGCCAGCGAGATGACGTGGGAGGCTCTTATGAGTTGCTACAGAAGGTGGGGAGTTCTTCGGGCAGCCCGCATTTCTGACAGTGAGCGGCCAGCTGGCTGTGGAGAACTTCTGCTGCTCGCTCGGCGACGTCTATACATTCGGGCCCACTTTTCGCGCTGAGAAGTCCAGCACCGCCCGACACCTGGCCGAGTTTTGGATGATCGAGCCCGAAATGGCGTTCGCCGACCTGAATGACGACATGAACTGCGCAGAGGACTACGTCAGGTTTTGCGCCAACACGGTCCTGGAGACATGCGCCTCTGACCTCGAGTTCTTTCAGCAGCGGATAGACAAAGAAGTCATCAATCGCCTCAAGCTTATCGCGTCAGAGCCGTTCAAGCGAATGTCCTACACGGAGGCAGTGGAGGTGCTCGAGAAGGAGATTGCTTCTGGCAAGGCGAAGTTTGAGTTTGAGGTCGCCTGGGGGAAAGAGCTGCAGACCGAGCACGAGAAGTGGCTCACTGACCAGCTCTATAAGCGCCCCACGATCGTCTACAATTACCCCAAGGACTGCAAAGCCTTTTACATGCGGATGAACGACGACGAAAAGACGGTCGCGGCGATGGACATCCTTTGCCCGGGCATCGGCGAGCTGATTGGTGGCTCGCAGCGAGAGGAGCGCCTGGACCGCCTGGACGGGCGCATCGAGGAGCTCGGCCTGGACCAGCAGGACTTCTGGTGGTACCGCGACCTGCGGCGGTTCGGCACGGTACCCCACGCGGGCTTCGGCCTGGGATTCGAGCGGCTGGTGATGCTCTGCACCGGGGTGCAGAACATCCGCGACGTCATACCTTTTCCGCGGTACCCTGGCCACGCGGAGTTCTGAGCGGCCCCGCCGCCTGGGAGGAGGCCCAGCTTTCCGGGGTAACGGTAGGGGGGGCTGGGCTCAGGGGGTACTCGTGGAGATCGCTGGTAGGGCCCCGACAGCTCCTCCGCCCAGGAGCGTTCGGATCAGCTACCAGGTGCCTATCGCCGATCCATCGGCGATGTAACGCCGATTCCGGGGTGATGTTGCCGGAAGTCTCGACCCACTCCCCGGGGCCAGCTCGTCACCCCGAGTCGGTTTTTGCGTGCCCCGTGGCCCGGAAAAAAATCGCTCTCGCCCCGCAGACCAACAAAAATGTCCCGTGGCCCGGCGAGGGCCTCCGGAGGCCGCGAAATCGGCAGCAAGCACCCCCGCCTCGATGTTTCCTCCCTGCGTTGTGGATCTCTGGGCGCCCCCCCGCAGCCAGTCCCCGCCCCCCTATCCATGCCTCTGCCCCCCCCTTCCCGCACGTCGGGCATGCCCCTCTGCAGGGGGAGTTCGTCCAGAACAGTAGAAACATGGTCAGGGGACGATGCTTCATGTTGTTTATACAAGTTTTCGGCTATGTGTTTTGTTTTTCTTTGTCCTCCCAAAATCCGCCTGTAGGAGGAAATGCCCGATCTGACTCTTCCCCTTCTTCATGGAAACCGACTGTATAGGAATTCCCATTGGAAACCGATTGTAGAGGAGTCTTATTGGACATCGATTGTAAGCGAATTCCTATTGGAAGCCGATTGTAAAGGAATCCTATCGAAAAAACAGGGGGTTGTATAGGAATCCTTTGGGGAAGTCGATTGTATAGGAACCCGATTGGAAATCGAAACATAGGAGTCCTATTGGAAACCGATTGCAAAAGAGCCCGATTGGAAATCGATTGCCTAAGAACCCGATTGGGAATGTAATGTATTGGGATCCTACTGGCAATCGTTGCATAGGAATCCTTTTGGAAACCGATTGTAAAGGTTTCCTTTTGGAAGTCAGTGTCGAGGAAGCCAGTGGGAAACCGATTGCATAGGAATTCTTATTAGAAACCGACTACAAAAGGAATCCGATTGGAAACCGATTTTGCAGGAGTCCAAGTGGAAACCGATTGTACAGGAGTCCTATTTGAAAGAAACCGGTTGTAAAGGAGTTCTTTTTGAAAAACGATTGTAAAGGAATCCTATTGGAAACCGATTGTGTAGTAATTTCGATTGGAAGCCGATTGTAAAAGACTCCTATTGGAAATCGATTGTAAAAGCACTCCTATTGCAAATCAATGTGTAAAGGAATCCTGTTGACAGCGGGTTGTTTAGGAATCCTTTTGAGAATCGACTGCATAGGAACCCGATTGGAAACTGAAAATAGGAATCCGATTGGAAACCGAATGTAAAGGAACCCAACTGGAAGTCGATTGTATAGGAACCCGATTGGGAATCGAGTGTATTGGGATCCTACTGGCAGTCGTTTGTGTAGGAATATTTTTGGAAACCGATTGTAAATATTCCCTTTTGGAAGTCCAATGTCGAGGAAACCAATGGGAAACCGATTGTGTAGGAAATCATCTTGGAAACCAGTTGTGTAGGAAATCAGATTGGAAACCGATTTTGCAGGAGTCTTATTGGAAACCGATTGCGTTGGAATTCGATTGGACATCGATTATATAGACACGTTATTGGAAATCGATTGCGTTGGAATCTTATTGGAAATCGATTGTATCTAAAGGGGGGGCAGCTCCTCTAGAGGGGGGGCGCCCTCTGGAAGCCCCTCTTTAAGGGGAACTATTGGCAGAACAATCCCTGTAGAAACCTCCTCTTGAAGGGGAACTCCCCTCTACAGTGTTGGAGCTGTTCTAGACTCTAAGAGGGACCCCCCCTCTAGAGAGGGGAGCCAAGCTTTAGAAACCCTGCCAGCTTCCCTCTCCAGCACATCACACGGGCCAGGAAGCCTTTGCAGGCTTCCCCTCCTCCTCCTCCTCCTTCTTGCTATCCCTCCTCCTCCTCCTCTTCCTCCTCCTCCTCTTCCTCCTATTCTTTGCCATTCGCAGCTGGCGGGGCGGGTGGGGCGAGGGATTGGGGTCGGGTTGGGGCGGAGGGTCAGGCCAGGTGCGCTTGCGCCGGTTCTGGCGTCCTGCCTCTCCCTCCCATCCCTTCCCATTGCGCTGATGTTTCTCTATCCGCGGACGCTTGTCATGACGAACCTTGCACTCTAAAGGGGACCTCATCGTGCTATGCGCAGTCAGAAAACGGGAGCTGCGTACATTGGAGGAGGGGGTGGCGGATGAGCAGGAGAATGAGCAATAAGAAAAGGAGGATGAGTAAGGAGGAGGACGAGGACGAATAGCGGCAGCAGGCGCTGGAATGGAAGGAGCTGGAGAGAGGGCAAGAGGGGAAGAAAACCTTCTCTTGCTATGCTGTGGCACGGTATGGGTAGCCATGCTATGCAACTTGTGCTATGCATTGGATGAGCTTGCAATTCATTGCGTTGCATATCATAGCGGTGCAGTGCGTGGTAGCCCTAATTTGGGTTGCGCCTGGTGCATTTGTAGCTGTCCTAGTGTTCTGTGGCTGTTTATATGGTTCGTTTCCGTGGTGTCTATAAGCACTCCCTGCTCCCCCCGCCTCGTCCACCATCGCCGCAATCCTCAAGGCGGGCGGGACAAAGGCCAATACCGTCGCCTTGGGGTATCACAGTCGTCCTCGAGATCGGCAGCAGCCACTTTTTGATTGGGCGCCTCGCTCCAGGAGTTGAAGCATGACGTACACACGTACATGAAACCTCGTTGGTTTCGAACATACGCATTGCCCGAACGTTCGTATGTGGCGGCGCACGCACGTGTTTTGTGGGCTCCCTAACTTTACAATCATCGCCAGACTGTCTGTCGCCATCCTGTCTCGGTCAGGAACGTGTGAGGCTTCCCCTCGCGCCGCACAAGAACTACCATACGCTCTATACCTCCCAGATTCTACATCCGCAATGGCCTCCCGCAGCTCCGCGCGCCGCTTCGTCGCGGCAGTGTTCGCTGCCGCAGCGATGCAGCCGGCGGAGGCCTCAGTTGCTCATGGATCTTGGGTTGCATCCTCTATCCTCCCTCCCCCCCTGGCTTCCCCCGCCCTCCCCCTGCCTCCCCCTCCCTCCACCTCCTCCTCCTCCTGACGACGCGAGAACACCTGACGAAAAAGGCACACGTATCGCATCCTCTCCCTCCTCCTTCCTTCGCTCCCTCGCATCCTGTCTCCCCGCATCCTCTCTACCTCCTCTCTGATCATCCCTTCCGCTCTCTCGTCCTCCCCTCCCCTCCTCGTGTCAGGCGTCGGGTGCTGGAGGGCGCACGTCCACGGACTGAGAGGGGCCTGGATCTCTCTGTCTCTCTCTCTCTCTGTCTGTGCCCCCTCTCTCTCTTTCTCTGTCTCTGTTTTTCTCTCTTTCTCTTTTTTTGTCTTTCTCTGTCTTGCTCTCTCTCTCTCTCTTACTCTATTCCTCTCTTCCCCTCATCCTCTCTTCCGCTCTTTCTCTCTTTCTCTCTTCCTCTCCTCCTCGCCCTCTCTCTCTCTCTCTCTTTCTCTTCTTCTCTCTTTCTCTCGTTCTCTCCTTTCCTCCTTCTCTCCCCCTCTCTTTTTTCTTTCGCCCTCTCTGTTTTCTGTATGGCTCTCTCTCTCTCTCTCTTGTTCTCTCTCTCTCTCTCTCTATTTCAAGGCACCCTTGAGAGAGTCACACATCCAATCTTTATTTTCCCCCCTCCACGTCACCGCAGCTGATCCTCAGCCGTTTTACTCATGCCGTTCTCCGGGAAGCAGGGTGCCCACGACACGATCATAGCATTTCCGCTTGGTGTCTCCCTCTCTTGCGACAGGCACCTGCTGGCAGCAGCATTTAGCATTTTTGGTGTCTGATCGCGCTAAGGGGCTCTCTCCAAGCTCAGGTTCAGCCAGCCTTCATCACCGACGGCTAAGGGAGTCACGAGAAACTGTACACTGTAATCCAGGTGTGCGCTTATTTTGGTCCAGTTTCTGTACATCCTCACTCCTTCGTTTTTCTGTTTCCCCGACGCCAGTGCCACCCTCGTTCCCGTCGATCTGTGAGCAGCCCGCCCTCTCCCGCTTCTTGCAGCAGCTCGTGTCTCGGAGACGCGACATATGGTTCGCATCCGCAGTCCAGACCTCAACCATATTCTGCGCGGTGCTTGGCCCCGAGTTGCGGACGCTGGAGGAGGCCCGGGGGAAATTTCAGTACGAAGGTGCGATATGCCGAGAGCAGACACATCAGATGATGCTGACGAGCCTCACGTTTTGTCAACGTTACGGTCGGACAGCAGAGTCAGAGTCGGAATCGGGCTGGGAGGATCCGGACGCGGAGAGCGATCAGCTAGTGAACGTGATGTATGCTGCTCTCGCCCTACGGTCTTCGACATCATTGGCATACACGGTGCGAATAATGTGGAGTTCGGGCTCCGACGATTCACGAGGTCGCGCCCAACCACCCAGCCTGCAACGGTGCAGCAGGCAATGGCCTTCTTCTCGCCCGTCCACGTCGAGCTGAAGCAGGAGGGCAACGAAGGGAATGGATTCGGAATCGGAGGACTCATGGGAATGTTTGGGCGTACATCTCAACCTCGCCACCTTGTGTGATTACGTGGGGCAATACCCAAGAGGCTTGCCTGTGCTACGAGGCGCCGCCCTGTGGAGCTCGAGCGGCGTTGTGCTCCTGACGTCGGGTCCAAGCCGTCTCCGCCATGCTCTGTCCTCCCGTGCCCTTCTTCGCTGGGAAAGAAAAGCTGTCCAGATGCTTCCGCCAGAACGGCGGCGTGGGATTCTTGATTGGGGTGAACCGATCGTGCAGACAGGAAAGCTTGCGATGCTTGAGGGTAATACATCGCCCACCGCGCAGTTGTTTACATTCTGGGGTCTCACGCCACACAGTGTGTTGGAAAGGCAGTTGCTCGAACAGGTCATTTCCCAAGACTCACTGGGCGCATTCAAGAGCATGTACGTGCCATCCTACATCCCCGAGTGAGATCTGGCAACCGACCCAGACACAAGGAGTTGAGTTGAGGAAGCGCAGGTTCGCTGCGTTTCATCCCGATGCTGCAGGCCCCGACGGAAGCCGCCAGTCTTCACTACGAGACACTTGCTTTTCGCAGATTCGGGTCCTCGGCGAACAGAGCCGACTCACGATAATCGGAGCAGGTCAGCCAGCGATGTGGTCTTGGCGTTCCCAACCTCCCTCCCCGATGCCAGCGACCTCGATGACGCTCCCCTTCGTGGCGAAGACCACCCCCCAGATGTGTTCACCCGCCAGCATGGTCGACGCCAGCCCCTGCCACGACCCCTCACCACAGAGGATCCTGAGAGGCCCCCTTGCAAGGTTTCCGGGGGCCCTCTTAGAGCCTTCCTCCTCCTCCTCCTCCTCCTCCTCCTCCTCCTCCTCCTCCTCCTCCTCCCCTCGACGCCTCACAACGATGGCTCGCGAAAGGTTCCATCTGGCCGAGGAGGAAGGCCCGCTCTGGATCTTGGAGCTGGTCTGTCTGGGTCTTCCACCTGCGTTTCGAGCCGGTCGATGGCGACCACCGCCGTTCTGCGCGCGCGTGTCCAGGCATGGGCCGGGCGCAGCATCGTTCACAGCGACCTTCCTTGCGCCAGAAATGTTGTTTCATTTTACCAGAGTCAGAACGGCGAGATTTCCGGTCAACCGTTACTTTAAGATGTTCGGACTGCCAGCGGCTAGACGCCCGATGCTGAAGATACCGTTTGAATTTCGTGATCGTGGGCTGGAGGGCATGGTCAGAGGCTCGATCCAGACGACGGCATGGTCTGAGGTGTGTAGCGGTGCTTCTTTAGTGTGCGGCGCACCTGCTTGTCTCTTTCTGTTCATTGTGCAGCGCGAATGGAACGCTTCAGACCAGGATTTTTCTCCTTGGAGGTTTCGCCCCCCTCCTTGGGTGTACGTGGGCTGCAGCCTTGCCTGGCGAAAAATCCTCCTCCTTCTCCTCCTCCTTCTCCTCCTCCTCCTCCTCCTCCTCCTCCTCCTCCCCTCTTCCTCCTCCCCGTCCTCCTCCCTCCCCTTCTACTCGTTGCTTCCTTCCTTCTCCTTTCCTCCTGCTCCCTGCCTGCTGTCCTGCCTGCCCGCCCGCCCAGCCGGCCCTGGTCTCCCGCCTGGGCGTCCGTCGTCGTCTGCCTGCTTCTCCTCTCCTCGTCCCCTTCCGCCGGACAGCACAGCCTGCTCGGGACCAGCGGTGCGGCACGTAGGGTTTCGGCCGGAGGGCCCGTAGCGATCTTCCAGCAGTTCAGTGCTCCTGGGTCGCTTTTGGCCATTTGTCTCAGTGGGCCAGCTCGGACCATCCTGCGCCCGACCGACCTCGCCCCCCTCCTCCTGCTCTCCGAGGCGCTCGCGGGCTTCGCCGACGCCTTCTTCGACGAGGGCGACCTGAGCTCCTTCGTTCAGACGTCCGCCGTCGTCTCCTCCGGGAGCCGCGTGGCCGGGGTGCCCAAGGACGCGGCCTGGGGCTGTCGGCGGCCCTGATCCGGCCGGCGGGGGTTTCGACCCCTGCCGTCTCCCCAGACATGCTCGCAACGTGAACAGCTCACGACGGGAATCACCACCCACCCAACCACCCCAACCCAACCCGAAGGCCTCAATCTGTCCTCCAGTTCCAGCGTGGGGGGGGGGTCGGGGAGCACCGACAAAAACACGGGGCACCCGTACCCCCCCCCAACCCGGAATTCGGGTCAAACCCGGGTCTTCGGGTTGGGTTGCGGTGGTCTGGTAGGCAGTCGGGGAAGCTGTCGGCCGTTTTCGGCCTCCGAGGGGCCCTCGCCGAGCCCTGGGACCGTCGCGGAACGACTCGCGAGGACAAGCCGACCCCGGGGAGTCTCGGCGCTTCCCTGGACCCCAACATGAAATACTCAGGACATCGCGTGTCTGGGTCGACCTGCCTAGCTCTGTCGATGGCGTCGCCTTGGTGGCCTTCTCTCCCCCTCGGGCGCTGGATCGGCGGGCCCACCCTCCCCTCGGGCTCGGCTTCGCTGGAGGGCCGAGACTGCCCCCGAAGGTCGACATAGCGTGTAGAAAGAGGGAGAGAGAGAGAGAGAGAGAAACAAAAACAGAGAGATCGGACAAGTAGACAGAGAGATCGGACAAGACAACATCGTCGACAGCCGGCTACTGCGGTAGCCGAGGCCGTCATCGCACTCTTGGCGGTGGTGCGCACCTTGAGGGACAGGGGATGTTGAAACAACCCCCCCCCGGCGCTAAACGACTGAGGTGAAGGGACGGGGTGGTGAGCAGGCGATGCGCCACGTCTCTCTGCGCCCCGCGAGCCTGCACGAGGGCCGCATGAGGGCGGGGCCGAGACCGGACCCGTCGTGCTGCTCTCGCGACGCTGGGGCCCAGGCGGGCAGTCGTCCAACCGCGGGCTTCCGTAATTCCAGATGGTGGGAGGCCCATGCACACCTGGAAAACAGGCACGCAGCGAGGGTCTTTAGGTTCTCATGCTTCGCGGGCCGGGTGAGCATTCTTTGTCAGAGGTCGCCAGCGTTGACGCCGCGGCGATGCCAGGAGGGGGGGTTGACGGCAACGCTAGGGGGGGGGGATCAGGGGGAGAAGCATCGACCCCCAATCGCTCACTGATCGCCGATCGGGCCCCGATAGTCCACCCCGCTCAGGAATGTTCGGATTCGCTGTCGGATGCCTATCGCCGATCCATCGGTGACGTATCGCACATTGCAGTTTGATGTGTCCCCCCTTCGACTAGGGGACCAACTACAGACTTGATTTGCCTCACATTTGATTTCCTCGCCGAATCTTCGAACAATGCGTCTACGGTTCGTGTGTGTATAAATTTGTATATACACACGAATCTGAGGTGTATATATACACACTAATCTTATACGTATTTTGTGGTGGAGTCGACGGAACAATGACTCGTGGGGCAAACCAATGTTGTAGGCGATCCCCCGCTCGATCCACTGGGCGAGTCCCCCCCCCGCGCCCACCGCTGCCCCTCACAAGGGGGTCGGCGGAGGCGGCGGCGCATTGGGGGCCTCGCCCGCCGAGGCCACCACGAGCGACCCCTCAGAGAGGGCGGAGCGGCGGACCGTGGGCGGCCCGCGGAGGAGGGGGAGGAGGAGGAGGAGGAGGAGGAGGAGGAGGAGGGGGAGGAGGAGGAGGAGGAGGAGGTGGAGGAGGAGGAGGAGGAGGAGGGAGGAGGTCGAGGGCCCACTGTCCACCACCGCTACCACAGGTAAGCCAGGGGAGAAGGGAGGTCGGGGAGGTTCCCCTCCTCCTCATCCTCCTCCTTTTCCTCCTCCTCCTTTTCCTCCTCCTCCTCCTCCTCCTCCTCCTCCTCCTCCTCCTCCTCCCCCCTCCGCTGCTACGTATGGTAATGGTGGTGGAAAATCGGCCCATCAATAAGGGCGCCCCCGAGGGCGCGAAGTTATTCGCTCTTCGCGCTTCGCGCTTCGGCTCCGATTTGTTCCTTATCCTCCTCTTCTCCCCTGGGGGGCGGCACGAGAGCGCAAAGCTATTCGCGCTTCGCGCTTCGCGCAGCGCGTAGCGCGAAGTTAGTCGCCCTTGATCTGAGACGACCCCTGGCAACGTCCAGAACTCCTGGGCTCTCGACTCGAGGCTCGCGGACCCCGCGCCGCAACGACGCCGCCCGCAGTCCATCCAGCCCACTCCAGATCGAGTGGCCAGGCCCTGCTTATGGTGCACCCTCGAACCGTCCCTCCTCGACAGAAAGAGACCACCTCGAGTCACGAACAAATGACGACGCAAGTTTTTTCTCGATGTTTGGCCTCTGGCACATCGACCGGGCCTCGGGGCTGTCAAAAACCGGCGCAGGATCAAAAGCCGGTCCTTGGGAGAAGGTCCAGACATCTGGGGTCCACGCCATCAAAAAACATGACGTCGGGGAAGCCCCAGGGGAGAAGAGGAGGATAAGGAACAAGAACAAGGACAGGAGGATAAGGAACAAGGAACAAGGAAGGGTCCAGCCTGGGAACGAGGAAGTCGAAGCACAGTGCCGTGGGGCTGCCTGGCGGCTCCTTCGCGCTGGCTGGCACCTCTTCGGGAGCACCCGCTGCCCCCGTCCGACGATGGTGCGTTGGAGCATCGCCCCTGAGCGCCAGCATCGCTTGACCGATCCCCATTCCCACTGGACCACGGCATGGCAGCACCACCAGCCTACGGTAGGTTCGCGTCGTGTCGACCGGCGGCGACCCCGACGCCGGCGTTCAACGTTGAACGCCGGCGGAGGCCCAGAATCGGTCGATGTTGAACGATCGGACGTTACGGAAATGGCCGATCGTTCCAGGTTGAACGATCTTCGCGGCGTCAGGGACCAACGCCCAGGTCGACACGGCGCGAACCTGCCGGACTCTGCCAGGTGGTGGCAGGCTCCGCGAGCCCCGAGTGGAACCTCAAATGTACTAGGATCCGTGCCAATCCACCTGAAGGCAAGTCTGCCAGTTGGGCCAAGGCCATGCCAGCGGGGATGGGGATCGGGTAAGTACACGACGCTCAGAGATTCGGCCACCCCTTGATGGGCTACGGCCCCGCCGCAGACCTCAGCAGGCGCTCCAGGCTCGCGCGCGGGGCGGCATCGGCGCCCACACGTCTGTCCCTCTGCCCCACAGCATATTTCGATTGATCTCTCCCCTCCTCCTTGTCCCTCATCTCTTTTGTCCCCCTTTTCTTTCCACTCGTCTTGTCTTCCGCCGTAAGGGCAAGCCAGGAGGGAGCGAGTGAGAGTTGTGATGTAGAAGGGAGCTCAGCGTTACAGCGAGAACGGCGAGCTAACAACAAACTTATAGCAAGCTAGAAACAAGCACACCACCAGCTAAACACAAGCGGAAGCATACCTACCATACTGCAGGCTGAACACAAGCTAGAAGGCAAGCTAGAAGCGAGCATAAGGCCTGCCAACATTATGGTTGCCTCAGTTTCGACAAACTCAGGAGCTTATAGAAACTCAGCCCCTGATGTTCTAGAAACTCATGCGTTGCTGACAGCTCACGGGGCAAATTTCTAAACACCCACGAGACGAGCTTTTAGAAACTCAGGAGTTTCGAGTTTCTCAGACCTTTGATGTTCCAGAGAGCCACGCGTTTCTAGACACTGAGAGCCCCGACTTTCTAGAGTCAGAGCAGGCGAATTTCTAGACGCTCGTGCGACTCAGGCCCCCGAGTTTCCGAAACTCGGGCCCCCTAGTTCTTTAGAAACTCAGGGGCCGAAGTTTCTAGATGCTCGTGGCGCGAGTTGTTCAGAAACTTTTCAGCTGAATGAAGTCAGAGTAATCTGGGGAAGCAGTTTTCGATCGCCCGCCCTCTTTTCGGTGAAGCTATATCGCTTCTCGCCCCTGGAAGTGATATCCCGCCCCCTCGCCCCTCAGTGCGGGATCCCACCAAGATCCGAATCTGGTTTCAACAAGACTCTGATAGTATCTCACTGACTTTCGAGAGTACGCACTGTTTTTTTAGATAGCGTCCTATGGTACGTTTAGATTGTCTCAGGGTTGTCTCAGGGAATTGGACTCTCGGTGGGGGCTCTTGCCTCCGAAGAGGCTGTCTTGAGGTTTCTCTTGGGCTGTCTTACTCCTCTTACTCCCACCTCCCCCCAGCGGAGATATGTAGCTACATACTTCGTCGTGGTGCTAACGATATCGCCCGGCGGCTTCCCCGTGGGCAATTATTTTCTTGATTGCAACGGATAGCGTCGGGGGATTCATCATTGCTTTCCAGGTTTACCGACTTTCTAAAGGCTCTGGCGGCGAGGTTCTAGGAACTCATGAGTTTCGAAACGCTCAGGTGCCTGAGATAGAGTCATGAGTTTCTGGAAAATCCAGGAGGATGGGTCGGGGGACGAGGCGAGAAACTCAGGATCTGAGTTTCTGAAGAGCTCATGCGTTTCTAGAAACCTCCAGGTGTGGAGCGGGACGGGAAACTTGCACGCCTGAGATTTCGAAGAGCACTCAGGAAACACACTTAATTATTATACAAACCCAGCGATTGGATTCTCTGGGCAGACCAGCCACACCTGGGGGAACTGTGGTCCTTACCCACCCCCTCCAGGGAGGCTTCTCGGCTTCGGTACCCCTCTCGAGAGATCTTCGATGCGATGCGTTTCACGAAGGGGGGCGGGGTGAGCATCGAAGCACCTCCAGTTGTGGCTGTGCGGCAGAGCCTGGCCTCGGGGCTCTTTTGGGAATCCAGATGGTGTTTCCCCGAGGAACTGGGGGGGTCCAAGGATCCCAGCCGCCCGACACCACCACCTCTGCCCTTTCTGCCACAGATGAGCAAACACTCTTATAGGCAGAGCCCAGGCTGGAATCGTATGGCGCGCTCAGGCAGGGTCTCGCCTCCGAGGGATTGAGAGGTTGACTTCTCTTCTTCGGTGAAAGGTGGCAGTCGACCAGTGGAAGCAAAACGGGGGTGGTTCCTCCAGCGGAAACAGCGTTCCCCTCCCTCCAGAGGTGCGCAGTTTGTTTGGATTCGGGGTTTCCGAAGTGGACCAATGTTGAAGCCTTTCCCGCGTGTAATTCGCGCCCAGTTGAGGGCCACGCGCAGACATATTACAGAGCATCGGTTCTCCCTATGCTCGGTTGCTTCGATCCCGAATTTGTTGCACCAACCCGTGTAAATATATCGATATATGTATGTGTATGTAACTGTATGTATGTATGTTTGTATGTAGACCTGTATGCATGTATGAATGTCCGTATATGCATTGTGTTTGAATATGTCTATGTATATACATCTGTACAATTATAATGGTATGCAGATGTATATGCATGTGTATATGTAGTTGTGTATGTAGATGTGGACGTATATGCATAGAAATGTGTAAATGTTTTTGTAAACGTATATGTATATATGTACGCATGCATATATGTACGTGTGTTTGTATGTTTACATGTATATGTATATATACATATGCATGACTGTGTGCGTGTATGTATGTATGTATGTGTATGTATGTATGTATGCATGCATGCATGCATGTCTGTCTGTCTGTCTGTCTGTCTGTATGTATGTATGTATGTATGTAGGTGTGTACATGCGTGTATGCATGTATGCATGCGTACATGTATGTATGCATGTGTGTATGCATGTGTGCATGGTGGTACGCACGCACGTATTTATGCATGCATGTATGCATGTATGACTATTTGTATGCATGTTTTGTGTATGCAGGTATGCATGTATGCATGTATGTATGTGCGTGCATTTATGTGTCTGTATGTGTGTATGTATGTATGCACGTACGTACGTACGTATGTATGTATGTTTGTACCTATGTATGCATTTATGTATGCATGTATGACTGTTTGCAGTTATGTATGTCTGCATGCATGTATGTATGTATGCATGCATGTATGCATGCATGCATGCATGCATGCAGGTATGTATGTATGTATGTGTGTATGTATGTATGTATGTATGTGTATGTATGTATGTATGTATGTATGTATGTATGTATGCATGCATGCATGTATGTATGTATGTATGTATGTATGTATGTATGTATTCAGCTTTACGATTGTTTATATATGCATGTGTATGTGCAGATCTACGTTTTGTGCGTCCAGCTGTAAACTCTCTTGTTATGTCCCTCCTCTTCTGGTCACCTCTCCTATGGATTTCTTGCTCCTCCCTTCAATTCATGCTTCCTTCTTTCCTTCCCGTCTGCTTCCTCCGTGTCCCCCTGCCTCCCAGCCTACCCCTCGCATCCTTTCCCGCGCTCGACTCGCCCACCCCTCCTGTCTGCAGTCGCCGCGGGGAGGAGTGCGAGGCAGACGGCCTGGCGCTGCACGGGGCGGAGGGAGATTTCGGCGACATCGACGTGGTGGGCTTCATACAGACGGGCGTGCAGGTCCGCTGAGGCTCTGGAACTCTCTGTGCCTCATTGAGACCACAGCCGGACCGAGGCACAAGATCGAGGCCAGTTCGGGGAGGGTGCCCCACGGCTTTTCGCGCTCGTGGGATGTTCATTGTGCGTCGTGGGGTAGGGCACCCTCGGATGTTCTTCGGTTTGGGCCCGCGGAGGCTCGTAGGTTCTGAACGGGAGCGTTCCACCGACCCCCACATCCCCATCCCCACCGAGGAGGAGGAGGAGGAGGAGGAGGAGGAGGAGGAGGAGAAGGAGGGGGAGGAGGAGGAGGAGGGGGAGAGGAGGAGAGGGGGAGGAGGAGGAGGAGGAGGAGGAGGAGGAGGAGGAGGAGGAGGAGGAGGAGGAGGAGGTCCGACTGTACTGAGGCTTCCGGGGGCAGATCGTGGGCGGGCCGCGGCCGAGACGTGGCTGTGCTTCCCGGGCCACGGCGGGGCGACGACCAGGCCGGTCTTCTCGACGCTTCGCATATCTCCACCGGCCGCCTCTCGGTTCGCTGCTGCGCCTATGTGCGTCGTCTGCGAATTTAGTTCATTTTGTATTGTGCATGTGCAACTGCGAGCATGCTTGCAGGTGCGGTCGGCTGTCGACAGTGACGGCTGGATTCGCAAGTTTACAATGTACCGCGCCCCGGACGTTGTGACCGCTCCCTGGGCTTTTCCTTGGAGCCGCCGAACAAACAAATATCTCCACCGGCCCATCTCGGAGCGAGGTCCATGCTCGGCACGAACGAACTGGGTACGGAAAGAACGGGTACGATGCCCAACAGCAGTTCCTGCTCATTTTGAACAGGACTCGCTGTCCGCGCCGCCGTGGCCTGTGTCCATTTGAGACAGAAGGCCGCCTGCCCAACAGCGGCCGCTGTTGGTTTGGGACAACATGTGTTGTTGGGCATTGCACCCTTTCTTGTCGTACCCATTTCGGGCGTCCAAACATGCGAGTGTCACGGTGTTGAAGGAGGAGGAAGGAGGGAATAGGAAGGAAGGGAGGTGGCTATGGTCGGAGATGTTCACGTCCGCTTTTGGATATGCCGCCTGTGCAGCGCGAGCGTGGTTTCCGCGGGAAACGGGGCCTTCGACAGCTCAATCGCCGGCTTGCTCCTCTTGGCCGCTTGCCAGTGCCAAGCCTTCCCGGGCGACGAGCCCCACGGGGGGGCGCCTCCGCCGCCCAACCCGTACCCACAGTCCTGGCCGACATCTGGACGGGACGCCCTGGTCACCCACTGGGCGTTGGACGCGATGCGCGCGAGGCGGGCTTGCCCCTGCCGGGCGGCCGGCTGCGGGGATCGCATCGAGAAAGGGTGAGTTGGGCGTGCTCCGCCCCGACCAGTTGATCAAGGCTCGACTAACACATCCCCCGCGCTGCGTCGAGGGCGGGTTTGGGCCCTCTGACGGGCTCGGGGGCGCCAGCCTCGCTGCGGCGGAGCAGGCAGACGCCATCCGCGAGTGCCGTGACCGACCCAGTAGGACCACGATGGCGGAATACGTCGAGGACCTGCCGGGCGAAGCGCGCGAAAGGTGACCCCGAACAACACCAGCAAGCAATCTCTCTTGGCGGCCCCTTTGCCCGACGCGGACGAAGGAGGACGAATGAGGGCGAAGGAGGACGAATGAGGAGGGCGACGACGGAGGAGGACGACGGACGATGGAGGACGAGGGAGGACGAACGAGGATCTGGAGGAGAAGAGGAGGAGGAGGAGGAGGAGGATGACGAAGGAGGAGGAGGACGAAGGAGGAGGAAAGAGGACGAGGGAAGCCGAAGGAGGAGGAGGAGCAGGAGGACGAAGGAGGAGGAGGAGGAGGAGGAGGAGGAGGAGGAGGAGGAGGAGCCGACGAAGGAGGGAAAGGGGAACGAAGGAGGACGAAAGAGGACGAAGAAGGACGGAGGAGGAGGAGGAGGAGGAGGAGGAAGAGGAGGAGGAGGAGGAGGAGGAGGAGGAGGAGGAGGAGGGGGAGGAGGATTCTTATCATGATGCTGATGGTGAGTAGGAGGAGGAGGAGGAGGAGGAGGAGGAGGAGGAGGAGGAGGAGGAGGAGGAGGAGGACCAGCGTAAACCCAATAGTCATCAACGATGTTGGAATGAACCCTCCCTCCACGCTCCCTCTTCGTAGGCCCTTACAACGGTTCATTCTCATTGAGGGAATTGCCTCGTTGGAAGACAATCGTTTGAAGATCCTGAAGCGCGCCAAAGGATTGCTCTCGGGATTTCAACGCCACGTATCAACCTGACTGCTGCGTCTTGACGATCCGGAAGCGTGCCAGAACGCCGTTTTTGGGACGTCAACACCGCGAATCAACATAACTGTTGCGCTCGCATAATCCCCATTTCTTCCAAAGCACCATTTCTGGTACGTTGATCATGGGGATCCGTGAAACTTTTGCATGTTTAAAACGAATGGGCGCGGCGCTAAGGCGAGAGTCACATTTTGAAAAGGAAGCGCCCTCAATCCGTGAAGCTTTTGCAATGTTAAAATACTAATGTGCGCGGCGCTATGGCGAGAGTCACATCTTGAAAACCACCCGCTCTCAATCCGTGAAGCCCTTCCACTTTTTCAACGAATGTGCGCGGCGTTAAAACGAGATACACATTTCGAAAACGACCCGCCCTCAATCCGTGAAACTCTTGCACACGCTTGAAAACGAATCTGCGCGGCGCTAAGGCGAGAGCCACATTTTGAAAGCGACCCGCCCTCCATCTGTGAAACCATTGCCACTTTTCAAGCTTCAGAGTCATAAATGGTGAGGAAGTCTCAGGCGAAACGCCTGGCCCGCCCTAAAAACTGGCCTCGGGGTGCGACAGAGAGAAATTATCTATCAGGAGAAGGAATGGAGGAGGAGGAGGAGGAGGAGGAGGAGGAGGAGGAGGAGGAGGAGGAGGAGGAGGAGGAGGACGAAGTAGGAGGACGAAGGAGGAGGAAGGAGGACGAGGGAGGACGGAGGGAGAGGAGGAGGAGGAGGCGGAGGAGGAGGAGGAGGAGGAGGAGGAGGAGGAGGGGGAGGAGGGGGAGGAGGACCAGGAGGCAGGGAGGCGGGCGGGGGATGGCCCGAGGGCAGCAGTGAGCCGCCAGGTCGCGGCGCGCCCGGCCGCCGAGCCGGACGGCGACCCCCTCTTCGACGCCGTGTCGCTCTGAGCGCCCGGCGCGGCGCGGCAGGGGCCTCCTCAGGGCTGCGGCAGCAGGCCGGGGGCAACGATAGGAGGTCTCAAGGGATAGATGATGACATGCTGTATCTGATGGAAGAGAATCCATGGGAAGCTTGTCCAAGGGGGATTGTTCGAGGGGTTGTTCGGATCCCTGCTGGGTTGTCCAAGCGGTTGTCCGGGGTAGGTCGTCCTGTCGTCATGAATCAGCACGGGTTGTCTGGTTTGTCCGCGGGGTTGTTTGGGGATTTTGTTTGATTGGTTTTTTCCGCTGGATATAGTCAGCGTCGCCTTTCGGAGATCCGCGCGGTTCTCTCAGATCGGCGCCGAGTCCCCCCCTTTGGCGTGCGGAGCATGCCAGGGGCGCCAGAGGCCCTGCCTGGGGGGTTCCAGCGCCGACCCGAGAAATCCGCTCGGACCTCCGAAACTTTCTGTTCCGGGCTGGACCTAAACGGTGTTTCGGCGATTTCGTGGGCCGTTTTCGTTCCGATATCGTTTTGCGGTAAAGGCGAATCGAAGACAAAACGAGGGAAATCGAAAACACAACGAAAACGAAAAACACCGTTTAGGTTCAGCCCTGTTTCTGTTTATGCCATTGCTTCTTCCCCGAAGGTCGGCGGCTTGGCTGCCTCGATACGCCCGTTTTGAAAGGTAACACGTGCAGTCAATACGTTCTGGCTCAACAAATTTGCCCACGTTTTTGCGAATGCATCGCGTCAGACCTACGTTTTTGGTCTATGTGTTGAGCTCCATGCCAATACGCTACGTGTTGCGTGTTGCGTATCTGGGCAGCTAAAGGGGGGATCGGCAGGGGGGATGCATCTACCCCCAAGCGCCCATTGATCGCCAGTAAGGGCCCGATAGCCCCTCCCCGCCCAGGAGCGTGCGGATTTACTATCGGGGGCCTATCGCCGATCTATTGGCGATGTATCGCCGATTCCAGGTCGATGTCTCCCCCCCTATCCCAGTCCCCTGGTGGTCGTCAGGTCATAACCCCGCCTCCTGCGGCCGTTCGAGACGATTCTGGCACCCCCAGAACATGTTCGGCGAGGCGCAGCCGCTGAAGGCATCCCGAGGCTTGAAACCCGCCACTAACCAACGAAAGCGTTAGAGAAACTCGGGCCGCGAAACTTCGAGCCAGTCCCCACCCCTTCCCCACCCCTTATCGTTGCCCCTCAGCAGGGGCGGGCAGTCGAAGGAGGAAGAGGTGCCGATGCGGCTGCCCTTGCCTCCAGAGGCCCCTGTTAGGGCCTCGACGATCGAACTTGGAGGATCGAGGAGGAGGACCGAGGAGGAGGAGGAGGAGGAGGAGGAGGAGGAGGAGGAGGAGGACCGAGGAGGAGGAGGGAGGAGGAGGAGGAGGAGAGGAGGAGGAGGAGGAGGAGGAGGAGGGTGGAGGAGGGGGAGGGGGAGGAGAGGAGGAGGAGGAGGAGGAGAGGAGGAGGAGGAGGAGGAGGAGGAGGAGGAGGAGGGGAGGGGGAGGAGGAGGTGGATGATGGGGAGGGGGAGGAGGAAGGGAGGAGGAGGGGGAGGAGGAGGAGGAGGAGGAGGAGGAGGAGGAGGAGGAGGAGGAGGAGGAGGAGGAGGAGGAGGATCGAACTTGGAGGATCGAGAGGTGTTTCGACGTCTGCCGCCCTTTCCGGGCCTCCGCGGGTCTCCTCGTGGCCACGGTCACCCTGGGAGAATGCTAGGGCCAGAGCGCATCCCAGGAGATGTCCACGGGCCGACGCTGACCGCCAGCGCAGGACGAACAGCCTGTCCCTGGGAGTGGGCCCCTTGGAGCACGGAGCAGAGAGGGACTTGGCATCGCTCGGTCGTGTGCATTTTTCTTCGGCGAAAGCCATCGAGGAGCATCCTCGACCATCGCGCCGACGAAAGCACGCACGACACCGAAGAGTGTGCACGGGGAACGGACGCCTGAGCGATGGCGAGGGGACGGGAGCTAGAAGAGGAGCTGGACGGCCCGTCGGAGACGCTGAGAAGGGTCGCAGGCCTAGAGGTTGACACCAACACCAAGATCGGCGGTGTGCCTCCACCGAGGGAAGACGATCCCGATCTCGGTGATGGTGGTAATATTCTGGCTTCCAGGGGGACTGAACTGTTACCACCAGCACCGAAATCCAGGATCGTCTTCCCAATGTGGAGGCAACCCCCTTTGCTGGTGTTGGTGCCAATTTCCAGGCCTCCCAAAGGGCGCTTGTCGGGTCGGGCGAAAGGGGGGGATAGCAAAGGGGGGGTTTGAGAATCAGCTCACGTAGCTGATCTTCCCGGCGCCTCCCGGCGCCGGAGGCGGCTATGTATCGAGGAATGGGCCCCTCGGCGAGGCCGAAACCAGCTGCATGCAGCAAATTTCGTAACCCCCCCTTTCCCAATCCCCCCCTTTCGCCCGAGGGTCCCCCCCCCCCGGGGAGGCGGCATCGGGCGGGCGCGGGGGGCAGCAGCCACCCGGGCGGCCGCGCGGGCGCGCGCCGCGGCGCCGAGCCGCGCCTCGGCCGCGCGGTGCGCAGGCGACGCTGGCCTGCGCCCTCGAGCCGAGAAAGATGCTTTCGACGATCACGGATCCAATGATGACGATGACGATGACGATGACGTCATCGTCATCGTCATCGCCATCGTCATCGTCATCGTCATCGTCATTGTCACCGTCATCGCCATCGTCATCGTCGTCGTCATCGCCATCGCCATCGTCGTCGTCATCGTCATTGTCACCGCCATCGCCATTGTCATCATCATCGTCGTCATCAGCTTTCGACGATCACCGATCCAATGGTGTGGCCCAGCAGCTCTGTGGCCGCTCTGAAGCTCGATAGGTAGTCGAAGTGCAGCTCGACGCAGCAGAACAGTTGCAGCACGGAGTGAACTGTTGACTATGGTTCGGTCAGTGGTGGCGCGCGGTGTTTTGGTTGCAATTCTGGGGAGGTTGAATTCAGCATCGGCGATGGTATAGTCTTGGTCGGAAGTCACATTAGTCTGGCTGATCCCGCTGAATCCCACTCGATCCCGCTCAATCTGGGTCAATCCTGGGCTCAATCGGGCTCAATACTGCTCAATCGGGCCTACTGGCTCCGAATCGGGTTTCATGTCCCGTGCCTTGGCGACGTTGGTTAAAGAATGTGTCCAGGCGGCGTCGGACCCTGGAGGGCTCCTTATCTTGTGAGGCCGGCAGTGATGTCCACGGCCAGTCCACGATCGGAGCTCCACCGGCTCCTGTACCCTGGATTCCTCATCCCATGGTTCTTCATCAAGTGCTCCGCCGTAGAGCCATCCCGCACAGCAAGGACGAGCGGCTTTGCGAGGCTGCCCTCGCATCCTTCCCCTTCGGCCCCTCCGTGGCCGCTTTCGCTCGCCGCGCCCCGCCCGCAGAGTGTCGACACGGCCCTCCAAGGCCCCTTGCATCCCTATCGGGCGTCCTTCTTGTACGGGTTGACTGTGTAATCGTTCTTGCGAAGACCTCCCTGAAGCTGCCTCCCCAGGGTGGGTGCGCGGTGTGCGCAGTGTGCGCAGAACGGCGTTCCGATTCGCTGCCGTCGGGCACGGCGGCAGAGACACGAGGGAGGGTCGGGGAGCAGATGTCGGGAAAAAGACAGAAAGAGAGAGAGAGAGAGGGCGTGGCAGTAAGAGAGAGAGAGAGAGACACACACACACACACATAGCGCGAGAGAGAGAGAGAGACCACAACGGTTCGACGAGCCAAAGTTCGTCAGGGCCCGCGGCTACGAGCGCCGCGCGGGCCAGTTTCTTCGAGCGGGAGGTGCCGCGTGTATGTGGCAGGGGTGGTGGGGTGACCGCCCCCCCTGGCGCGGTCGAGGGGGCACCGTCTGGAACAAAGGGCAGGCGGCGGTGAACAGGCTGCTACGGGGCCCGTCTGCGCCCCCGTTGCAGAAGCGCTGCCTGTACACGCGCCTTGGCTTGCGCAACGCAGCAGGTAGGACCATGAAAGGCGCCGCCTTGGGGCATCCCCCGCGGCGGCCCGAGAAGAGCGGACGACGGTAAAGGTGCCAATTGTGCTCGTGGCCCGTGTGAGAGGAGGCGGTGCTAGCTCGGGTGTGCCGCCCGTTGAGCGCCGGAAGCCTGGAAGTTACCAGGGAGGGATGCCCCCATCGCGGCAGCGGGCCGGCAAGCCTGCTGCAGGCCGCTCGGGGCCTCTGCGATCGGTGGGACCTGTCGGTCAGCGGGGCCGATTGTTCCCGCAGTTGGTGGGGGGAGAGCGCTAGCTGGTTGGCGCGGTGTCTGAGCGCCTGCACGCTGGCGCTCAGTGTTCTCGCGGTCCCTTTGCTGCTGGCTGTTCGCCGCCGTGACTGTTGCATTAGGGCTTGCCAGCGGTCCGTGCGTTGTGCGGTTCCGCTGGCCTCCGCGGCTGGCGGCCGCCCTTGTCGGAGCCCTGGTGGGCCGACTGGGAGTGCTGGCTGCCTTTGGCGTGATGGGTGGCCACCGCTCTCTGACTCACCTGGTCGTTGGCGAGCTGGGTGCCAGCCCGTGCAACATGGTGGTCCACAGCAGGGTTGCTGTGGTCAGGGGGTTGCCTGTGAGTGGAGACATCGCTGCCTGCCTCGTCGTTGAGAGAAGCACCGAACCCTAGGGGGCCGAGGTCTCAGCTTTGAAGGCGTCCGTGGGTGTGGACCAAGGGTCGTCGAGTTCGTCAAAGTGGCTGGGACCTGGTGGCCCGTCCATGGGAGGTAGCCCTCCTTGTGCGCCTGAGCTGTGCCCCCTTGATCGGGCTTGGTGCCATCTTACAGAGCTCCGACATGGAGAATGCCGCTCTCCTATGATGGAGCGGCAGCGTCTGGTGTCGCAGGTCATAGACGGCCTCGACCATGGTCTGCAGTACGGCGGCGAACCTGTGTTGGCCACTTGGCGGCGTCCACTGCACTGTGTGGGATGTGGTGAAGCCTCGCTCCTGAGGTGGCGAGTTCGTAAGCATGTCGGTTGAACGATTCAGCGATCGGAGTGATGCGCCCTTCGTAGATCCCTTGCTGCCCAAAGTGGCTTCCC